AGGGAGCTTGCAAACACACGTGTACCTTTGGACAAGATTATTTCCTCACCTCCACCCCTTACTCCCACGTGAAGGTGGATGTGAGATTGGAGAAATGAATACAGGAGATGGAAGAGATGGGGAAAATGTTGGTACAAAGAATGGACTATAACACTGTGTTTGGTTACACTCCGGTGTCCCAGCAGAACTGCCACGGGTTCCCTTCAGCCTAGCTTCCCACCAGCACCCCTGCAGACGCACCAACACGCTCAGCTGCTTTACTTCCAAACCTCTGGTCCTCAGTCAGGTTCTTCTATCTTCTCTAGAAACCTCCCTAGCCCTTTTCTTTTTTGGAAAATGTTAAAGTCTCTAGAACTGGCTAGGGACCTGAAGAGAGGCATGATTTAGGGGTGAAAAGAAAAATCATCAAAATTTCTTCACACGCAGGCTTCAAGAAAAAGATGAGATATGTGAAAGAAAAATGAGAAAATGGCATAAATAAGTACCCACTTGTTTTATTCTTCCCCTTGATACTGAGAAGGGCCCTGGGGGGCTCCTGGGCACAAAAGCCTTTTTGTGTCCCCCATTTCTCTGATTACAGGAAATAGGCTTCATTCAGCCTCCATGACCTTCCCTGAGTTCCAACGGGCAGATTCAAGAAGTTGCTAATTAGGGAAGGGAGGGGAGGCCAGACCAGGGAGAAACAAACAGTCAAGAGAAACCATAGTGCAGCCTTGGGGCAAGGTCCTGGCTCCTCATCAAGGGATACACACAGCAACATCTTTGAGCTGTTTTGTACTGACCGAAAGCCCCACCACGAGGGAGAAATTAATGGGTAACATACGAAGGAATGCTGCCGGCAAGCAAGTAGACCCCAGACCAGTTGGAACCAGAAGGTGGATGATGCTGACTCCCACTTACCTCACCACCAGCCAATCAGAAGAATGTTCACGAAATGATCACGCCCTCTTTGAACAATTGCTATAAAACTCCCCACTACCTCCTCCAGGGTGGGTCACACAGTTTTGAGGACATTAGCCTGCTATGGCCCCCTTTGCCTGGCAAAGCAATAAAGCTATTCTTTTCTACTTCACCCAAAACTCTGTCTCCGAGATTTAATTTGGTGTCAGCATACAGAGGCTGGATTCGGCTTCACCCTTAACCCACAGTTTTTCTTTAATAGGAAGTAATACTTTACCTCCTCCTCTATGATGGATTAAGGGTACATTACAGGAAGTATAGAAACTTTATCAAAGAAATTGAAATTAATTAATTACTACCATTTTATGCCTATTAAATTAGTAAAGTTAAAAACTACAAATATATTGATGGAGACTCTGATTTGCAGGACATCCTAGAAAGCAATTTATTAATACATATCGAGTCAAAAAATAGTTACGACTTTGACTTAACAATTGCACTTGTGATGTATCTTGTGAAATAACTCGAAAGAAGATTCCACATCACTTACACATGATGAAAATTTGAAGATGCTCAGTTCAGAGTTACTTAGGATAGCAAAAGAAGAAAAAGGAAACAATCCTAATGCAATAAATATTAATGACAATGTGCCAGGCTGTGTCCTAAGCAATGGAGATACAATTCAAAAAGACAAACAAACCCCATGCCCAAATGGGGCTTATATTCTAGTGGAAGAAACAAATAAAAACATGTGTCAAGTAGTGATCACATCAACAAAAAATAAATGAAGCAAAGAAAATCATTGAGCTTCTATATGATGGAGCCAGAAATTAAACTCAGGTCATGTGAGTTATGCTCTTCTCAATGCTTTACCAACTTACCTCAAAGCAGACCCAGGAAATTCATTCAGATCTGCTGCTCTAAATTCCCCCATGGAGAGCAAGAAAGGAAACCATATTAGAGAAGCTATGAAGAAGAGAGAATTTCAGGACCCCAAGGTGTTTTTCCTGCCAGGAGGGCAGGTGACTTTGTGAAGCCATGGGAGTGACCAGCTCACAGGACAGAGGCCAAGGCAGTGAGTGGGGTTTCCCTTCAGCTTCTTCCCTGATTTCTGAGTGTGGCTGAGACCAAGACCATGGCCCTACTTCCACAGAAAACTTGCTTCAGGAGTCATCTTACAACATTTTATTCAATGGAAGCTCTGAGAACCAGAATCTGAAGTGTCACCAAATTGGGGGGGCACCATTTATTCACAAAAGACCCCAATTCTATGTTCCTTCAGACCCTCTTGCTCTGCCCTTGGTATACAAGGGCCTATGGACTTCAAAATATCATTTAGAAAAAGAACTATGATGATTTTCCGATGCAGCTATTCCCAACTTTCCAGCAAATTATCTGTGAAGACAAAGATAGATGTGAAGATTTGCAAAGAAAACTCTTACACCACAGTCAACCAATTGCCAGAATGTGAGAAGCTGATGGTAATGACTTGATAAGTGCAACCAGAAGCCTTAATATACTTTACTACCCAAAACCAAAATCAAAAAGTGTGAAGACATTTTGTCCCTCCCCCAATTGCTGCCCCTCCAGATTAGAGAAATTGAGTCTGTGCCAAGTAGAACTGAGATCAAACCCTTCTTGGCATGAATATTGATATTTTAGCAGCCAAAGTGTCACCTGTTCTCATCCTCCTTCTTTCTACATACATTCATGAATTACAATATCTAGAAAACATCAGGGAAAATTTGGGGTGAGGGTGGAGGTGCTGGATCCTGGCAACACACTCCATTAGTGGTCCAGGGAATTACACATCCTCACTATAACATGTTGTAGGTGGGGTAGAGTCAGGTAGAGCTCTAATAACAACTCTTCTGCTTTGTTTTGTTTTTTTTGCGGTACACGGGCCTCTCACTGTCGTGGCCTCTCCCGTTGCGGAGCACAGGCTCCGGACGCGCAGGCTCAGTGGCCATGGCTCACAGGCCCAGCCGCTCCGCGGCATGTGGGATCTTCCCGGACCGGGATACGAACCCGTGTCCCCTGCATCGGCAGGCGGACTCTCAACCACTGCGCCACCAGGGAAGCCCTCTAGTAACAACTCTTACTGGGGATTGTGGTTTTCTTGTAATCCAGTGTTCAGCATCTATAATAAACAGTCAGTACACCTGAAACTACTATAATATGTCAATTATATCTGAATTTTTTCAAAAAGCAAAACATAAATGAATAAAATAAACAGTAGGACAAGACTCATATCAGTGAGAAGAAGCCACACAATACTAGCTCGTAACAACAACCACAGCGAGATCAGGTAGAACCGGGCACATTCACGAGACAGGGAATGAGGCCTAGGGAAGTCCACATCTCCTTTGGGAGATGCTTGGGATGTACAGAACTCAAGAAAATTAAAACAACCTGGCATGAGGCCTAATAAAACACCTTATAGAGCAAAGCAAAAGAGACCTTGTTATATTCTGGAACTAGATAGAGTAGTGCTTGCACAACACTGTGAACATTGTAAAAGCCGCAGAATTGTTCACTTTAAAATGGTTAATTCTATGTTATGTGAATTTCACCTCCATTTTAAAAAAGGAGTGAGAAAACATCTGGTAGCAATTTACTTGGACTCTAAGAAAATGACTTGTCCCCACAGAGTTAATGACATAGGACTTATGAAACAAGAAGCAAGGGAAATATATAAATATCGATCCTAAAAAAAAAAAGATGTTTAAAAAGGAGAAAGCAAACATAGAAGAAGTATAATATGAAAATAAAGCTAATCACACCAAATCCAAATATATCAATTACCCCAATACACGTAAATTAAACTTGTCAGTTAAAAGAGAATGACGGATTGGATTACAACACAATCCAACTTCTGTGCTACTTACAAAAGACACACCTACAGCATGAAAATAATGAAAAGTTGAAAAGAATGAGAAGAGATACATTCAGCCAAATACTAACCAAAAGACAGCCAGTACAGATATATTAATATCAGCCAAAGAAGACTTTAAGACAAATAGCATCATTAAGGACAGAGTTCCTATGCAATGAATAAAGACTAAAGTCACTAAAGCAATGTAACAATTCTAAACATGTACACACATTATTAAATAGACTCAGTAGATTTAAACAAAAATTGAAAGGCCTGCAAAAATAAATTGACAAATCACCATGATGGTGGGAGATTACAGCATGCCTTTTTTCAATCAATTATGATTCAAGCAGCCAAAACAATTCAGCAAAAATATAGAAGAGTTGAATAACACAATTAACAACTTCATCTGATGGAACATTTAGAGATATTTATTATGTATTTAATAGATGTAATAAAATACATCTTTTATGTATTTTAAAAGATGTCTCAACCAATTTCAAAGAATAGTTGTCACATGGATTTAATTGGTTCCTCAAACTCTAGGAATTTAGCCATAACTGTGGGAAAAATGGGGTTCAACCTTAAATGAACAGAAATAAATTTTCTGCCATGTAATGCTATAAGAAATAGAAATTAAAATGTGTAATAAAAAAAAGTTTAAAAGCTATACTTCTTGCCCTTCTGAATCTGTGAAGTGTTTTATCTGCTAGGTTGCAAGAATAATGTATAATACAGTTTTGTACTCTGCTGTTTTTAGCCTAATATTACATCATAGGCATTTTGTCACGCCATTGTTCTTGTCTTTTTCTTAGAAACTGATCCCCAGCCCTAAAGTTTTTCCCTCCTTCGGCCAGAAGTCAAAAGCCTCTAAAAATAAACTCACATCAATAAGACACCTGCAGACCAACACATCTAGAAAATCAGAATTCCTTTTAAACTCAGTCTGGATCAAACTTCTGCACAATATATTCTAATTCCTGCCACAGCCAAATGCATTTCCTTTTGTTAAAGTCTCAGTTGTGGTGAAATAAAAGCTAACTTCTATTCCCTCAGTCAACTGAAGATTTAGAATCGGACTACACACAGCTTTTCCTTTTGTGGAATATAGTCAGTGCCACCCGTTTTCCCACCACAGAAACCCACAGCTATTGTTCCTTTCTAATTTTTCAACGAGCAAATGGTTCCCCAGAGCTTTTTCTAGAAAAATTCCCACAGGCCTTACCTCACTGGAATCTCTTTCCACAGCAAACTAGTCCTTGAGTCAATGCTGCAGGAATGACTATTAGTCTTCTTAGGGTAGAAAGATAAATCATGTAAAGCTCTTCGTTAGTTAACAGTGGGACATGATAAGAAGAGGATTTGAAAGGTAACAAGGAAACAGTGCCCCTGGCTAGTTTCACTTGGAAACTGGAGTAGTCCTTGCTGTCACCTGGGTGCTAAACCCTGGAAAAGAAAAGGCACAATTATTACAGGATTTTAAGATTCCTCCCACCAAATTCTTAGTTTCCTGTTTCCTTCTCCAGTCAAGTCTGAACAGTTTTTCTATGCATTTGAGAACTCAGCCAAAGATATTTCAGGTAGAGGGAAATGAAAGCAAGGAGGTCTTCCTTTATTTTGTTTCCCAAATTTCAAAGGGATTCACATCTGGAGTAGTGGGTCTCAAAGTGTGGCCCCTGGACCGGGAACATCTGCAACATCTGGAAACTTGTTAGAAATGCAAATTCTTGGGCCTCACACCAGACAAAATAAATCTGAAACTCTGGGGGTGGCACCAGCAGGCTGTGTCTGAACAAGCTCTTCAGGGTGATTCTGAAAACCACTACTCAGAACATTCCTGTCTAAATGCCAGCTGAGCCCATAAATTCTTATAGCCTTGGGTGAGGTTCAGGTTGCAATTTTAACCAGATTGCCAAGCAGAGGGTTGAGTGAGCAAACAAATCTTGCCAGAAAATCAGGGCAGTGGAAGTGGCTGACAGAGATATTGGTTAGAATAATGATCACATTAGTACCACATGAGGCTCTTAGAGCAGGCATGGGCAGGTCTACTATGGAATCCAAATAATCTCCCAGCTCCAGGGCCGGGAGCAAATAAAGTAATATCTCGGTTCTCCCAGGACCACTCCCAACAACAATCGTTGAGCCTTCGTGCAATGATGTCCAACATGGTATCAGCTCACATATAAGGTACAAGAAGATGTGACAGACTATATGAGGGATAGGAAATTAGCATTAGGGGCTCACCAGACTGACACCCGACAGAAGCATAAGACCTACATATCAGCTCTTATTCATTCATTCATCTATGCATTCATTCAACAGATATTTGTTGAGCACCTATGTGGTCAGACACATTTTTTAAGTAGCTAAACTGCTATGGCATTTGCATACAGCCATTTTTTGTCATACAGCCATTTTTTAAAAATTTAAGTAGCTGAACTGCTATAGTGACCTCTCCATTCTTCAGAAATTTCCTGGAGGTACTTATGGTTCTTTTAGAGAGTGCTGAACTAGGCACTTTTAACCTTGCTTTGAGTGAGTTCTATCAACTCTGATGAATACAATAGGGTTGAAAGCCTGGGTTATGCCCCTGGACATTGAGGACTAATACTTGGATTGTCATACACTATGGATCTAGACATTTGGACCACCTGGTATGCACATCATCTGGAATTCAAATCTCTATAAGAAAATAACTCATCACATCTGGCAGGAACTGAACTTTTCTTGACCACTACCGTGATCATGCCTCAGGGTTAAGAATGCAGGCCCCTCAAAGTAGAGTCTCTATGCAAACTTAAAAGTAAGCAGTTATTTTTCCCATCCTAGGCAGATGACCCTGGCAAAACCAAATGAACAAGTACGTTTGAGGGTAGAGCTTTCGCAGATGGCATTTTCTTGAAATAGGATGGTACTAATTTTATAGTGTGATATCTGTCTTTAAGAATTAGGGGGACTTCCCTGGTGGCGCAGTGGTTAAGAATCCACCTGCCAACTCAGGGGATATGGGTTTGATCCCTGGTCTGGGAAGATCCCACATGCTGCGAAGCAACTAAGCCCGTGTGCCACAATTACTGAAGCCCGTGGGCCTAGAGCTCGTGCTCCACAGCAAGAGAAGCCACCGCAATGAGAAGCCCGTGCACCGCAATGAAGAATAGCCTCCGCCCGCCACAACTAGAGAAAGCCCGCATGCAGCAACGAAGACCCAACACAGCCCAAAATAAATAAATAAATTTATTTAAAAAAAAAAAAAGCATTAGAGAGGACATGATGTACTGGGTTAGGTTAAGATTTGGGCAAGAGAAGATTTCCTGAAAAAGAAAAAACAAAAATGCTGGTGCTGTAGCCAAGTTTCAGGGAAAGGTGATCTTTCTTAAGGAAACTGGAAAATGGACAATAAGGTGGTTAATGGGATACGATCTTCTAGTAGTGCCTTCAAACCCCCAAATGGGCTATATTCCTTTTAGTCTTGGGGGCTTACCATTAAATACAGAGGATATCTTGTCTTATATTACGGAGGTAAACCTGTTTGGAGAACATATCATCATCACCCAGAAGTGAGGCCTCTAAGCTCTCACGCACGTATTGTGGGCGTGCTGCACTAGCTGGCCCAGCTCCAAACACACCAAAGACTGTTGTGAGTGAGGAACAGTAAGTACTGCATATAATGAAAGGCACAGCCACATTCTAATGTGAAGGTAAGTCTGCATCCTGTTGTGAAAAGACCTTTCCCTTGATCGACTATATGGTTTGTTAACACCCAGATACAAGGAAAACAATTAGGGAGGCTGCCTGTGACAGTAGGCAATACTGGTGAGAGTATAGGTGTGCTGGGGATTACCACAGCATAGGATTCCAGCCAGGATGTCCAAGTGCAGAAGGAAGCCACATGATAGATGAAAGGTCATCCGCACAGTGTTACGGGTGTGACGTCATAGGGATGGTTCCTGTAGTGTGTGCATTGGCTCAGCAGGTGGCTGGGGTCACTGAACAGGCCAGATATAGAAAGTATTTCCAATGGCTTGAAACTCAACTTTACGTGGAATCTATAGTTATGAACCAGTATCCAAGGTTGTGGTCTTAAGAAAGTTGAAAAGAGGATTGAGTAGACCTGAATCTGACCATTTATCTCATTACTTCTCAAGAACAGAGCATTTCTTACCTGGGATGTGCTTTATGGAGCCACCAGGCTCTCCAGGGGCACAGACTCTAGGACTGAGGCTACTATTTGATGAGCATCAAAGGGAAGTTCCTTCTCCACTCCTCCACAACTTTCACTGATTCTCTATTCCCTTCCTCTGGAGCCATCCCTGCTAGGAGCCCAGGTGAAGCTGTCTGGAAGGTGTGGCCTTGACCATTATTATAAATCCAGGTTAGTGGGACAAAGATGGTTTTCACCAGCTCACAATATTAGCCCAACTGACCTGCATGGCTCCTGAGACTGTTTATTCAAATTTCCCTAGGGGAGCGTACAATCTCATGCCAAATCTTAGAAGGGCAGACATAAATCACTATCATACAGGATGCCTGATCATTCTCTTCCAGTGGATCCTGAGAATAGTTGTGGCCCATGTGGACCATGTCTGACTGGGAAAGTGGCTTCGTAAAGACCACATGAGGCAGCCAGGGATCCTGCATAGTTTGCCCTTTTAATCCAGCTTCTTGTGCAGTGCTATAACACACTTCTCAGTCTCCTCTTTTAGGCAGGATAACAGAAATGCCATTTTTAAGCCTCTCCTCAAAATGTGAGTGCCTGTATCTCTACAGATATTTAAAGCTGAATTAAGAATCATATCTTTTTCCTAGGATTGTAGGAGTTGGGTCTGTAGGCACAAGGTAAGCAACTCTATCCCTGACCTTTGAATTGGCTACAAAGCCACCAACCAGACACAGAAGCCCAAAGAACTACGTTTATTAGGCAAAACTGCTGTTGTGCATGATTACCTTTTATCAGAAAGGTGGGTGTCCATTACACTCGGCCCCATGTGATATTCTGGGAACCTGAATGCAATGCAAGGGTGAAACCGTGGACTTCAGGATGTTATGAATGAATCTGAGACAGAGAGACCCAAGCGACAGTATAACAGGACAAACTCAAATCAAAGATAAGGAAACATCACAGATAGTCAGTATGAAGGACTACACTGAAAAGGAGCCCAGGCATAAGACAACAGAATGGCAATAGAGGAAAAACACACATGAGCACAAAGGGTTTAAAGTGGAGAGAGGAAAACTGAGCCTGGAAGAAGACAGCAGCCTGAGTTCACAGAACTCCTGTGGCCTTGGGTTTGATAGGAAAGGGTCCAATGAAGTGACCAGTCCAGCTTGGAAAAGGCCTGTGCACCTCAGGCCTTCCATAGTCACTTGGCAGCTTCTGAAACTGTAGTAAGAAATCTGGATGCTGCAGAGAAAAAAACTTAAGATGGAAGAGGTACTGAGAATTTTTTTTTAAAAGAAATTGTAGAGAAAGAAATACAGATGAGTACAGAAAATTGAAAAATTGGTTTCCACTACCAAGTTGCTTTTCTGTGTTACTTCAGCAACAGTTGTTTCAGAAATGAATGAGAATAATGAATAAGTAGCTAGGGATGGCAATAGCTTTTATAGACAGTAGTTAACAGAAATTTTGCAGCCAAGGGAAGAGCAGAAATAGGTCAATACATCTTGGGAGGCTTAGTAGATAACAGAAAAATAAACTATGCTTTATATGGAGGTGACAGGTGTGTGTGTGTGTGTGTGTGTGTGAGTGAGTGTTTGTGTGTTAGGCTGAAGGCCAAGTGTCAAAAGAAATTTCATGAAAGAGTGAGAGTAACAGAAGATCAGATCAGCGTCCCAAAGGCATCAGGAAAGGATGTGCCCTGGAGCAAAGGTGACATTAACTATAAAGAAGAAGAGAAATGCTTCATCCTATGAGGCAGAAGAGCTGGGAATATGGGGAAAATAATAACACATCAAGTTTGTGCATTTTGTATATAAATGCTTATTTCAAACTGAGAAGCCCTAGGTTATCCAGTAAAATATGGTTTCTCCAGGTGGGTCGTTAAGTCAAGTAAAGTGCGGTTATTGATCTCCTTCCCTAAATCAATGGATGCTTCTTTGTACAAGGGAAAAAAATGGAGGATGCAGAAGGTCAGCAGCAATGGTTCAGGCTCAGAACCCCTAAAATAAAATGGCTCAGAAGCAAGTAAAAGAAAACAAATTGAGGTCACATTTATCTTGCTAGATTTCTGGATCAGGATGACATTTTGAGCACAGATTTGAATTCCACCCTCAGGTCTTTGATATGAAAAATTTTATACAAAATATTTCAAATATAAAGTTGAAAGAATAAGATCATGAACACTTGTATACCCATCACTTAGATTCAAGAAATGTTAACAATTTGCCTGAATTGTAAACATTATGTTGGTGTTTATCTGTATAAATTTACTACTGAACCATTTGAA